AAGAGAGAGAGAGAGAGAGAGAGAGAGAGAGAAAGGAGGTGGGGGGGTTGGAGAGGACATTTAAATCGAATTTTTCGGTCTTTCTCGCTGAGCTGGGATGCCTAAATGTTTCCCATTTGTCCTGATATGATATTCAGCTTTTGAAACCCGTCTAAATGACCGATATTGTGTAGAGGTCGGTGTAAAAAACACTTACATAAAAAACCCTCTTTCTTTATTTTCGGAAGCTGGGTGGTAAGGAGGGGGTGGGTGATGATGGCATACAGAAACAATACAGTAGAGAACGGCATTTATCTTTGTCGAGATAACAACAAAGAACAACTGATAACAACTGATATCAACAAATAACAACTGATAACAACAAAATAACGACAAATATCAACACAGAGGTCCTGATTTAGTTGGGTTTTTGTCGATAAATTGTTACTTTCGATTTTACCTTTCGATTTGAACGTAAACCAAAAAAGGGACGGAACTCCGGTCATCGCTAAACAATATTCTATATTACTTCTGGTAGTTGCTCGGAGTTGTGCACGTAAAGTAGGGACCTGGTTGACTATATAAATATTGATTTTGGAGGCTGGAATCAAAGTATTTTGGTGTTATCAGTTGTTATTTGCTGTTATCAGTTGCTATTTGTTGTTTTCAGTTGTTATTTGTTGTTATCAGTTCAATAAAATAACAACAAATATCAACACACACGTCCTAATTAAGTTGCTTTTGCTTGGTTTTTAAGGAAGCCTACATCGGTATTTATCTTTGTCGAGATAACAACAAATAACAACTGAAAACAACAAATAACAACTGACTACCTTAAAAAACAAGTAAAAGTAACTTTAATTAGGACGTTTGTGTTGATATTTGTCGTTATTTTGTTGTTATCAGTTATCAGTTTTTATTTGTTGTTATCAGTTGTTATTTGTTGTTATCTCGACAAAGGTAAATACCCGTAGAGAATATGGATCAATCTAAACTCCCACAGTTAAACGTTTTGTCAGAAATACCAGTCAATCCAGAAAACCAATTGATGCACCTTCTACGTACCAACTAAATAACTTACTAACTAAATGTACCACCCACCTAATTAACTAACGAACTAACGAACTAACTAACGAACTAACGAACTAACTAACTAACTAACTAACTAACTAACTAACTAACTAACTAACTAACTAACCTCTTTTTGATCTTTCCCCCGTTTCCTCGGAGTTACAAATTGCCACAAAAAGGGCACAGACGACCCATTTTACAACTCGAACCTGATACAAGATAAAAAAACAACAACAACAGAAATGTACTTGTTCTTCATGGGATGAACGTCTTCTTATGCAGTAGAAATCTTATCAGTGGCTGAACTTCATTTTTAACTTGCAAACAACAGATGCACAGAGAAAAAGAGAGAAACTGAGATAGATAGATAGATAGATAGATAGATAGATCGATAGATAGATTGATAGATAGATAGATAGACAGACAGATAGATAGATAGGTAGATGATGTAAAGGGGAGAGAGAGGGAGAGAGAGAGAGAGAGATAGAGAGGGGGGAGAAAGGAGAGAGGCAGAGAGAGACAGAGAGAGACAAAGA